GTGTGTGTGTGTGTGTGTGTGTGTGTGTGTGTGTGTGTGTGTGTGTGCGCGCGTGTGTGTGCGCGCGCGCTCAGTCCCAGAACTTTGGCTAGCATCGAGGACTCTGACGTGTACCAGATGTTACAGAGAGACCAGGAGGAGCCCCAGGAGCCTCGGCAGTCTGGCTCGTTCCGAGCCCTGCAGGACTTTATTGACAGTGATGGTGAGCTCTTAATTTTTCTCAGACTATTACTTTCACAAGATAAAAACATCTCATAGGTTGAAATGATTACAGGTACAGACAAATATTTTTATTTTTACTGAAGCCAAAAAGATGCAATGCCTCACAGTAGAAACACTAAGATGTTTTACAGGCCACAGAAACCTATTTTCTAAATGAGCTTTTTATTATGAGTTATGGGGTTCTGCATGGACACACTATTTTCTGCCAAAGCTAGAACCATTTTGGTTCTTTCACATTAGAGATTTTTGTATTTCTTTTTTCTCTGATTATTTTACTCAATGGTTTGAAGTGGACGAGGCTCCACTGGAAAAAAAGATGCAATCACATACACCTGATAAACAACAGCTAAAGATTACTACTTGTTTATTCACGAGTATTTAACGTTAAAACTAAATACTTAAAATGTGAAGCAACGTTTTCAGGGTATTTTGCATTGCTACTGCAATTTTCTCTTCGACGCAGTTCTTTTTGGGGGTTTTAGGAATGTCATTGTTGCCGTGTAGAAGGATTCAGTTCAGACTGATGAGGGCTGGAGCACATAATTGCAGTTAGAGCTATTTCATAAGCTGCAGCAGCAAATGTTTTTGATTTCTTACGGCTTACTTTTCTCAAAAGCGATTTATATTTGTACCTCCCGTACAAACATCAAGACCATTTTTGCCCAAAGACACTTCCACATGTGGACAAGAGGAGGCAGGGATTGAACCGACAACCGTACAAACAACCGGCTGTAACTCCTACGCAGTTGAATTTACTGAACCACATTGCTCATTTGATGACCTTCTAATTGTGGCGTAAACAATTATAAACATGACATTTTGTGAGGCTACGGGGAACAAAGATGAAGATAACACTATTGTTTAAATCGTTTATGCAATATTTTGACCCTGTATGACTCATAACATACACAGTATGCTACACATTATATAATTCAGGCGCGCTCTCATGTGTTACCTATATTCAAGTAGTTTAGTGTAGCTACACAATGCTGCATTACAAAAGCACTCCTCCATGTGTTTCCTCTGTTAATTGAGTTGTAAAAATGCATCCTGATAGCATTGAAGTTATGAAATATGCTTATACCTGATAAGTGTCCCTGCCTCAATTCTGTTTTGTTTGTGTGTATGTGCTCCCGCATAAGCACAGGGTTGTTTTGATGCGTGGTCTCTCTCCCATGTGGGCAGGCACTCGTCCCATTGTGACCAGGACAGTAAAAGCCCCGACAAACAAACCAACTACGCCCACAGGAAACCTGCAGAAGCTGCCCGTCTGCGACAAGTGTGGGAATGGGATTGTGTGAGTTGTTTGTATTGCAGGGCTGTTGCACAGAATTGAACTGTTATGCACATGTAACATACATCTTAACATGATATGCCTTTATGCAAATACATTGTTCAACAAATCGTTATATATGATATATTTATGTTTTACTCTGTAATCAAGTATTCATGTTTGAACACCAGTTATAGATGCTTCATAGGAGGAGTTATTATGGTTGACTAAAAACTGTATTAAATACTGTAAAAGTGTCCTTACACACCTTATACCGTTCATTAGGTTGTTGTAATAGGGGAGTTAAAGTAACGAGTTACCGTAATAGCTTCGTATGTAGCTACATAGCTAATTCAGTCTCAACGAGTTTAACAAATCAGGTTCTTCTTTACCTTCCTTCAGACCAACTTAAGACCACTGTATGTTGAATTTATTATTTATTATTTATTACAAGATCGTTATTATTATGATGTGGGTTTTTTGTCCGTTGAATATGTTGGTGCAGTCTCAGTGTTGCTTTCAAGTTATTCTTGTCAGTGACCAGTTTAGGGAGGGTGTATTTATACTATACTATACTGGCTTTACTATTGCTACTGTACCTCACACATACCCTATTCTTTTCTTCTGACATCTCCCTCTTTGTCTTTTATGCTACAGCGGGACGGTGGTCAAAGCACGAGACAAATATCGTCACCCCGGTTGCTTTGTGTGCTCCGACTGTGACGTCAACCTCAAACAGAAGGGCTATTTCTTCGTGGAGGAGCAGCTGTACTGTGAGACTCACGCTCGCGCTAGAATGAGACCACCAGAGGGACACGACCTCATCACAACTTTCCCTTCTGCATAGATTCATGGCAAACAGACACACATACAAACAGACACTTCTGTGTCCTACATCTGTTTTGTGTGTTTATCTGCACTTGTTTATCTGATGTTGTCTATGTGCAATGATATATCGATAAGAATACACTTTACTCCCTGATCTTTACAGCAAGATGTTTTCTCTGTGTAGGAACATGTCACAGTTGAACAGCCTGGTTGTTTAGCAGCAGTGACTACAAAACACACTGAGACTTGCCTCTTTCATTTTGCCACTTTCTCATAATTCAATGTCTTTGCAATAAAGACCTTTTGCTCATACTGACTTATAGGTGGCCTCTGTATGTGAAGTCTTAAGAAGAAAAGCACCACCTGTAGAAAACAGAAAACAGCCTTTATATGGCAATCTATTCAGCAAATAGCCTTTGCCGAAAAATAGCAGAATAAGCAGGTGATGACTGGCTCCTAATTAAGAATTGAGAGCAGCTTTGTGCATTTCACCTCTTGGCCAATCAGGGTGTTACAACGCCCTTTCTTTAGGGCTTAAGAGAGGTGGGGAACTGCACATCCAGGGCCTTGTGATCCTTGCACAGCCTTATGCGGACTTCATTGAGACATCTTTGCTGTCTTAACTTTTCGGTTTGAGGTTTATTTTGAATGTTGTGAAACCTAGTCTGAGTAAATGTTATAGGAAAAAGAAAATCTTTCCAGGTTATATTTTGGGTCAAGCACAACCCCGCAGGCTTTATTTTATTTTGGGTTTATTTTCTTTGAAAATACACATTTCCTTATTATCGAAAAGGCATTTTTTCGTTATGAGGGCACTGATTTGGGAACTTATTCTCAGGCTTCTTCCCGTTCAGCTGAAATCTGGGCAATCAGTAGCACAACATAGGCAATTTAACGTGACACACTGGGTTCTGTCCCCCGCAAAATCTAAAAGCAAAACATTTCTCTTCTGCTTTTAACACAATCGAGCCCCAGATTACTTTCATCTGAATCTCAACATGCTTACAGTGAGATGGAGCATATCTGGTTACATCTGGTGTTTGTTGTTAGTCTGTGTAGCCTGGTCTTCGTCATCTGTTCTTTTTGAGGAAAAATACATCATTGCTGGCCAGCAGCCACACTGTGAGACCGCCTATGTATTTGTCCACTGCTGCTGAGCAGACTGGTAGACCCGGACCCATGGAAACCCTGATGAAGTGAAGTAATGTCAAGGGAGTTGCTAGCAACAAGGAAAAGGGAATAAGAGTTGATGTTATACACCTCCTTGTAACACCAGTATTGATCCTGTAGCTATTGGCAAAATGCAACTTTACAACAATCCATTTAGTATACTGTAGATGGAGGGTCTTCTTTGTTTGGGTTGCTTCAGCATCCATTATATGACTCAAACAAGAATTTAAATTGAGACGGTGTAACAAACCGTACTGTTCCCTTTTTGAATGAGTTATTGGCTTGATTTGCTCATTTCAATTAGGTGTAGAAGAAAAGGACAGCGGGGTTAAAAATATAATTGATTAGATCAAGAGATTTCCACTCCTGTCTCTGCTCCAGACGGTTACACAACTGAGTCTGCTGAGGATAAAGCACACCGGGCCAATGGGTCCATCATTACTCACTCACGTTGTGTTTTTCAAAACTACAGAACCTAATTTCAAATTCCAGTTTCCAGTATAGTCAGGCTGAAACTGAGGTAAATTATCCACCCAAAAATCAAACAGAATATTTCTATTTGATGCACTGTGGGATGCAAACACATACAGGTACATTGTTTAATAATAATATTAAGGTTCAACAGTTGCATCAATAGGCTTACATCAATAATTGAGTCCACTGCACATCCAGTACTGCATACTGAGAGAAGTGACTCCTGCTGCCGTGGTGAGACCCTGTTGAGCTAAAGTATCATTTGTAGCTGTTTGAGACAACAGAAAACACTGTAGTCAAAATAAGTTACCAAGTATGCTGTATAGGATATTTAAATGTATGTTTTTCATCACCGGGCAGCACGAAGCATCTACTCATGGCACGTGCTGATAGTTTCTAGCTAACTGATACTGCAAGCTCACCTAGCTAACAGTACAGTTCAGCCAGAGTAAAATAGACAATAGAGCAGGGTATGTTTGAGGGAGTTGCTACCTTGTGATTGACAGGTCACTACCACATCGTTGTTCGGTCTGGGGATTGACGAGTTTTCATCGAACAACTTCAACCCTTTTTAGTGTGTGTTTTCAGTCCATGAATGTTAATTGTAACCGTTTCGGTCAACTAAAGATTTCTTATTCAGCATTCAGTGAATAGCTCCACCCTCTTGATTCAATTTTGGTTGCAAAAAGCCAAGATGGCCAAAATTCAGTGACTACATCCAATTCCGTTATACAGTCTATGCCCACAACAAGATCTGTGATTTATATTGAATAACCAGGTAATGATTTCTGTCACGTTGCTGTAGAGTTTATTAAAATGTATTTAACCTAGTTTTATTATATTCGAGAGAAGGCAAACATCGATACAGCTCATATCTTCAACACTTTAGCAACTCACAACAAAACAATCTTGATTTGATAAACAGCACTACAGGTGAGAGGAAATTGTCCCTTTAAAGCTGAGTTAAGCAATTTTTCATATTAACATCAAATCAAGTAAAAGGTGTCACTGATACAGTAACAAAGACACAGGATTTTTTTGATTTTTTTTTTCATGGTTCATACATTTTGTAGTTGACTCTCTGCTGCTTGTATTATCTACCTTAGATAGCTGTTTCCATTAAGAAAGTGCTGATAAGTCCACTGCATACTACCTGCTGGCCAAACCACAGCTACAACACCAATGCATATTTGCCTTAACATTATCCAGGTTCCAAAATATGACTCACAATGAATGGTAACATTGCTCCATGTCTGCTGGAGCAATGTTACGAGCACACAAAAATGTAAACGTTGTGCAGTTTTACTTTATGATGATGACAGGATGATTTATCTGCCTACTCGAATAAGTCACTCATATAATGTATGCTAACAACATCCCTAAAGAAGCCATGAGCCACTAACAACATCAATAAGTCATGCTTATGCTGTGATGCTGTTTCACTATCCTCTCCCATTTTAGTTATGTCCCAATGGAATTACAATTCATTGACTAAATCGATACGCTGGTCACTGAAGGACTGCTATTAATCGAATGATAATGCATATGGATGGAAAGAGACTGACATGAGTGACGTAAGTGCAAGACGAGACCATCAGCAAACAAAGATTCATTTAATTAGTTTTAAAGCTCTTGTTCATTTTAATTGATCTGCAAGTAGCCTCCTCCTAAGAGCAGATCAATAACATCAGACGGTTAAAGAAAACATTTTTTATTTATTGCTTAATGCACCATGAATAGCTGACTAGAAATGGGCATGTAAAGCTAATATATCAGTCCCTCAGCTCCTCACGTATGCACAAAGTAAATCAGTGAAGACCTGGTCAATAGGAAGGGTTCTTCAAAACATGAACAATTAGGCTGCTCACTGCAAACAAAGACAGGTTGGGGAGGGGGAGGAACTCCTCATCTGTCTAATAAGAAACCCGATATCAGTTTCCTGCTAAACCCATAACACAAACATCTGCATCCCTCTGCGCCTGCTGCTCAGACCGCATTAAACGTCCAGGTTAAAACAAAGTTAAATGTACTTCACACGTCACTTTCTCCATTTCACACGTGCTTGATATTTATTTGTACATTTTTGCATGCAGTATAATCTACCACCAAACACTTTGTTTGACTACTGACAGTTGACAGAGTAGTATTGACATTTAAACAGGCTGATAAAATGGGACATTATGTCCATTACATATCCATTTAGCAACACTGTTAGAATAATAATGACACTGAATCAAATGACTTGATCCACTTGCAAATCAACATACAACTAACAGCTTTTTCTTATTTCTTCTTACAAGGTTATACAGTGTGTCGACCCTGAAGCACCTTGACTTGATAAATTAAGTGTTAAAGGTGCTCTATGTGTGATTCAGAGCATTAATATAGCAGCAAACAACTATTAGCTATGTAAAGATGTAGTGGAGTAATGTCTACCTGAGCAGAGAATGAAGTCACTCTCCCTCTGTGTGTGTGTCGTTATCTGAGCTACTCTGTTCTTTGTTGACATAGCCGGGCTGGCCACAGTGCATGTGCCCCATTGGCTAGCTCATGGGCGCCGCTCTGCAGTGCGCTCAAAAAGTGATTCCAGCTGATAACGCCATCCCCCACCGATGGCGTTCTCATGTAAGCGTAGCACCCACCCTCCGGTTCACGCTCAGGTAAACACTGTTCGCTCTGTCAGCACTTTCACAGGTGTTTGCAATGTTAGCACTGTTAGCTGCAAGTCGCCGGCTCAGCCGCCGCCATGTTAAGAGCCGTTGAGAGGTAATGCTCCCAATCTTGAATACAGCACCTTTAACAGCATATTTTACTTACAAAATATTTAATCTGACAATGAAGTTTCATAATGACATAATCAAGTACGTCAGGTCAGCTGGACTTTATGTACAGATGTACACTGCAACCATGTACAACATTCCAGAGAATAATAGTGAGGTTTTGACATTGTTGTGAAACTTGATATGGTTGCAGGTGATGGGCCCTTGTTCAGGCTTCAAAGGGGCACCAATTTAAATGGCCTCTCCTCTTTATTTGACAAAGTGAAAGTACTGTGGAGGCTGGTTCAGTTGCCAGAAATGCAAACTAATTATTTTGTATTAAATATTTAATAGATATGATCTTAAATCATTGCCTATAACAGTGACAATTTCAGCATTTTCATGTGTTTTTAGATGAAAAAGTATTTAAATACCCACTCACAATTAATAATGCATATAGACCGAGCAGGTTAGTTGGGATAGAATTTTTTTTAAACTTTTTTATGCCCGAAATGGGGTTAGACAAGGTTTTTTTTAATTTATTTATGTTAGCCGATGATTTTTTTGTCGGGAGGGGAGAGGGTATTTTATTTGTGGGGGAGACGCAATGAAGTGAAAAAAATCGAAATGGTCATATCACTCAAAATCATGTTTAGTTTCATTCATAGATTAAAATACATTCTGATAGATAATGCTGTACTTGCATCTTTAATAAAAAATATTGACTGTGAGCAATCTGTGAGGTTAAGCCAAAAATCTGCAAAGTACTGATACTGCTCTGAGCGCATGGTAATAACTGGAGGCGACTCAGAGGGGTGTATTAACGTTTTTTTATCATCTGGCACAGGGTGGCTGGACAGTATGAGAAAGAAAATCAACCTGGAACAATAAAAGGGGGTTCCAAACAGAGTTCCAAAGGTTGAATCAGCTGTGCTCAAATTTAAGATTGAATTCATTTGATAACAAGCCAAGACAAACTGCATCAACAGACCCACCATAAGTAGTTTCCTTCAAACACTTTTGATTATTTTCAATATACCTCAAAATGCCCACACAAAAAAACAAATACAAACATTTCCACAAGTGAGTCACAATAAACCGTCTTTGACTGAGCACAAACTTAGACATTTGTTTATACGCAATCTGTACAAAACTTGTCAACATTTTTTTTTGTCTCTCTGCCTCTGGGGCGTCTTGACGCGGAAGTGAGCGGCTTGTAGCACTTCCACACGGACAAAAAGGCCTCCCTGTAGTTGTTGTTCATCCACCCGTACAGGATGGGATTGACAAACGTCGAGCACATCGCCACAATATGGAACATGGTGAAAAGCAGCTTGAAGTCCTTCATATACAACACGGTGCTGTCGAATTCAACCGCCAACTGGAACGCATGGAAAGGCAACCAGCTGACGGCGAAGACTACCACCATGGTCAGCAGCATCTTCGTGGTCTTCTTATGTTGCTGTCGACGGTCATTCCGACCTCCGTAAGTCATGTGATTCTTCAGCGTATTCCAGATCCGGATGTAGGCAAAGCAGTTGATGGTCAGAGGTAGACCGTATTGAACAAGAAGCGCTGATATGCTGTAGATGCTTCCATTCATGCTGTTGCCTGGCCACTTCTCCATACACACCTGAATAGGCTCTTCCGGTGAAAGGTAGACCGTCTCGTACTCCCTGAAGATGGCGAGCGGGCTGGCTAACAGGGCGCTGACGGCCCACGTGATGACGATGACCACAGCGCACATGTCTTTGGATATCTTGGTCTCCATGAGGTAGACAATGGTCCTGTGGCGGTCCAGGGCGATGATGTTCATGGTGATGGTGGACACGTGCACTGCGATGCCTTGAGCAAAGGGCAGCATGAAGCACAACACCTGACCTAAATTCCACTCGACTTCCAGAGTGTAGACGAGGGTAAAAGGCAAACACAGCGTGTTCACCAGCAAGTCTGACACAGCCAGGTTTACAATGAAGAAATTGGTGACATTCCGAAGAGTTTTAAACCTGAAGACAACATATATCACTAAGGAGTTTCCAATGACTCCAAACAATATGATTGTGCTGTAAGCAAGGATGAGAATAACTTGAACTGCAACCAGCTTAGTGCTGTCGTCTAGCTTCCAAAAGATCCCATTCTTTATGGTGCCGACAGTTGAGCAGCAGTTGGAAGAATTAAGTCCAAGTTGTGAATCTTCTACTTGAGTGGTGTTGACTTGATCTGCTGTGTCCATGGCGGACAGTCCCCATAAGTCACTCTGTGAAGAGATGGACATCGCTTTCAGCAATGGACACACACACGATGTGACCTTATTTATTAATTGAATGGCAACATTCTGGCAAAAATGTTTTAATTATCTCTCTGAAAACAATAAGGTGGCGTCTAAAATATAGAAAACAATGTTGTTGTTTTTTTGGAACATTTGAAAAGCATTGCAATTAATGAATATGTGTTCTGCCTTCAGAGAGCAGTGACACTATTTGCAATATATGTAGATTTCAACAGAGCTGGAGGTGGCAGAGTTGAAGATGCTAAGTCGGATGGGAGTGACGAGTATGGAACGGTAGGAATTGGCTGTATTAGAGGGACAGCTTATGTTAGATGACAGATGGTTGGGGCATGTGCAAAGGAGAGATGTTGGGTATATGGAGAGAAGGATGCTAAAGATGGAGCTGCCAGGCCAGAGGAGAAGAGCTTTATAGATGTGGTGACGGTGGACATGCAGGTGATTGGATAGAGGAAGATGCAGAAGACAGGGCAAGGAGAAGGAGAAGAAGATTTCAATTGATTCTCAATATCTAACTTCCATTACAGCGGAAGATCAACTATGATTTATGTTAAAACTACATGTTCACAAGACTTTTAAGATGTGATAGGTGTATTAAAAATGTGTTTTTAATGCTGAAAGATTCATTATAATCTATAGATTAAGCATATTCAACATCTCTGGACAGCACATTGTTTGTTTGTGAATTTGAAGTCTTAAAATGAACTCAACACACTGCAAGTGATGCCTGCAGGAGACTGATCCTAGAGCTGATTCACAGATACAAAAAAAGCTATCGTCTCTCTGAAAGCAACCGGGGGGATTTTGCTGGACTGGCCACATTTTCCAATCCATAGGTAGCTATCAACAAATAAAACTCGAACAAAACATCTATGACATGATAGTGCCCTCCAAACTCTACTATCACTATCAAAAAGCATGATGCATTTTGTTTTACTGTGGATTTTCTCTTTAATAGATATTAGACTATCACTCTGCAGGTATATGAACCACAGATATGTTCACTTAATATATCTTATGAGATAAATCTGAATCTGTGAATTTTAAGAGTGAGGACGAGTGACAACTGGTTGCTGAACAGGAAATCTTAAATTAGTAACTAACCTTAACAGGAGCGAAGAGAAAGGTGACGTGGATCAGAAGCTCTAATAAGCAAGTGTTTCCCTAATTGTCAAAAGATCAGATGCCAGATCAACACGCTTTTACTCACCTCCATCTGCAGAGATTTTCAGATTCCTCTAATTGCTTCGTCCTGTAGTAAAGTTTAGTGACAGCTAAACCGACGGATTAATCTTCTTCAAGGAGGATCAACGTGCGCTCAACGACAGCAAAGCGCGCACAGCTTGCCAGTGCGCACTACAGCCCGTTACGTTGGGGGTGCATTACAATACCTGCCCTGCGAGGCTGTGAGAGAACAACAAAGGAGGCAGCCTGTGTAAAAGAGAGGAAGCACGTCCTTCCTCGACCAACATCCTCCACCCGCGAGATGATTGCTCTTTGCCTCACAATGGGTCGGTTTGGTACTTTCATTCGAGTATACGCCTCTGCTCGTGCTGAATGGCGAGGGATATATAAGACAGAGGGTTATAATTAATCCTGCAAATTGAGCATTTGTCATAGACTCTCACTTAATAACCAACAGTGTAAAGAAAGTCAATCTAATCCAGTTGAGAGATGTTTCAAACAAGAATCAAATGTCGTTGAATCTGCCTGTGCAGAGCAATTCTTCGGTAAGGAGCAACAGGGGTTTGATGATAACTTCCTGCTGATTAACAGAAAAAAGAACTTAGAAGTCAAAGCACAAACTGCTTCATATGTCATCAAGTAGAAATTAAAAACATGATTACATGAATACATGATTGTTCTACATTTCTTTGGAGAAATAGCATGATTGCCAGCAGATAATGCAAACATAATGTCACCGAAAGGCCTGATTAAATTTGAGTCTTGAAGAGGGGCCGAATACACAAGTGCACACTTCTGTGTTTGCTTCTTTCCGACGTTTTGAGCACTGTGGCTGGTAATTCGGGTCAGATTAGATCACCACTGTTACAAACCAAACACATCATGTGGCCATTGGAAATTGAGTTACTGTCATGCAGCCTCTTTGGCAAAAGCCCAATTAGCCCATAGTGCAACTACACAGATGGTGAAGTAATGAGGAAAACCAGGAATCCCTGACTAGAAGGGCATGTCAAGAGTGTGTCCCTGATGATTTTAGGAGGTAGAGCGGACTGTAAATGATGTCCTTGTTTTCATGTGAATGTCAGCACACAAACATATTGTTCTGTTGTCAATAAAGAATCACAACAATGTGTTTTTAAGCTTTCAGCTCTACCGTTTATTGTCATCATTTTTTAATGACCACTTTCGACACAATTTTACATTTGCTGTAAACACACATTCTATATACAGTGAACATGTTTGCAAATATTTGCCTATGCTCACATCCAGCAGAGATGAGGTAAATTTGAATACATTTTCATTCACTTCATTCATTTGGATTCATAGTTTTCTGTAACTCTAATATTCACCCTCCTTTTTGCTCAGTTTTGGTCAACTCCTGAGAACAAACATCTGGCTGGTAAGGCCAATAGTCCTAACAATGTTTTGCACTCAGCAGGCTCACATTACCTCAGTCTTGGAAAGGGAGAAGTGAGCGAAGGGGGATCCACTTGGTTGCAATCTGCACCAACGCCACTAGATGTCGCTAAATCCCACACACTGTCCCTTTTTTAAGAGTCAATCAAAATGGTAAAACCAAAGCAATGAGGTGAAAGATATTAAAAAAGGGGATAATTCTCTGTTGGTTCATCACTAAAAGTGATTTTCATATTACACATAGTCATTTGAACGTTTTTTGGTATAAACTTATTAATAAGAGCAGCTTTAATGTATTTTCCTTGGCTTGTTGTTGAGAATGGATCCAACACATTTTGACTCCCAAATCGTCAACTACTGACGCTTGGTCAGTGGCTCTGAGCTTCAAACTATGATGCTCTATGTAGCCCTCGAGCGTCAGTTTTGGACGTGTCAGCGACGGAGTGTCAGTTTCCACTCGTTGCATCGTGTCTTTTTAAATTAACTTTGTCTTTATCTTTAAAGGAAGTTTGGTTTAGGCAACAGTACTACTTCGCTAGGATTAAGAAAAGAGCAGAGTTGATGGTAACTTGACTGGCTCACTACTGAGTGACTAACTACTCTCATGAGTCTCGTGCCTAACTACTCATGTGACAAAATATCACGGGACACGATCAGCGGTCTCCTGCATAAGTCCTGTGTTAGGTTAACCTTTCCACCCCATCTGGCTCTCTATAATGACGCAGGTGGGTGTAAGTTGGACTTATCAGAATTGGTTTCATGCATCGGTATCAGACGCTGAGGGGCACTGACCAACTGTTCGGCATTTGAAGAGTTGGGAGTGAGACCGGGTTGAGGGATCAGTGCTACAATTGAAATTACAGGAGCTCTCAGAATAAAACAATGCCCTTTTAATCTAAATTAAACCATGTAGGTTCACATTAAAATTATATCTCTCTTCTATCTCTTTCTGCATTTTAATTTCTAATTGTAATCATCATTTTATGATCAAATTAAGTTACGGTAAAATTGTTTCAAATGATTAATGAGAACTGGATAATGTTACTATCGATCTGTAGAGAGAATTAAAGTAGTTTAATGCTGTACAATGTATTTTCCTGTGAACCAAGGAAATGAATGTCAATGACTCTAAATGGATTTCTTTTATTCTTTATTGATCCTATTTAGAGTAGAGTCACAGCAATCCTTGTCTTAACTTGCGTTCTATAAATTAGTAGTACTCATCCACTGCCGTGTACAACAACATGCAATGAGCCGGTAACTGAACATGACCGCACACAGTATTGATTGGTTATTGATCCAAACAGAACCATGCTACAGGGATATCTGAAGTGATTAATAAAATAATGATCGACCAAATGTCACCTGTTCTTTATAAAACTGCACAACGGGCATGATGTCACGATCCAAAGACCAAATGTCAGTTTGAAGGTGAAGTGGTTAACCAAGGAAACTTCACACACAATATTTGTTATCATTTTAACCATACTGTTGTTCTTTTTATCACATTTTCAATGAAAAATAAGCATCCACACCGTTTATTCAGCTAATGTCGAGGTTGTATTGTATATTTTTGCGAAAAACTTAAGTCTATATTATAGCGTTGCTGCTTGTTTTGTTGTCTTGGGAGGACAAGGACTCAGTCGTCCAAATTCAAACCCTTTTACAAATGATGTATTTAATGTTGAAAATAAAATAAACAAGGCTTTATTTTGATACTGGCAGTAGAGACATTGAGGGGAGAGAGAGGAGAGATGACATGCAACACAATTACATGGACACCCCTTCTAAGGACAAATGTGCAGATATGTTGGAAAATGATTTCAGATGCAATGAAAGATTAAAGTTATTTTCTATTCTTATGGATGTGCAGGTTTCACTTAAGGGATGCCTAGGTGTGTTTACTTCAAACTTTATCTGTATCTCCAGACACACACCAGAGTATTTTATGATTCTAAATGAGATGATCATGAGGCAACCTCAGGCATGACTGCTGGGAATTTGCAATCAAATATCAATAAAGTTTGGGCCTTTCTACTGACACACAGGGCTTTCAGTACATATACAGTATATGTACTGTATGTGTGTATGTATATATATCTGTGTGTGTGTGTGCGTGTGTCCAAGATCCAATAATAGGCTGCTAGTTGAATTCACACAGATCACATTCGAAAGCAGAACATTTAAGGGCAACACACACTTGGCTGAATTGTTTTAATCAGCTATGTGATCCTTGTATCTAAATAAAGAAAACAACATTATGGGAATATTGATATGAAAATCAGATTCCCTTCAGGGAATCCACGCTAAAGGCTGAAAGGTGTCAATTTCAGAGGTGACAAAACTCAGTGACTCTTCAATCTCAGCAGGACTGTGCACCTGCAGTCCACTTAATAGAACTTGGGGGCTTGAGCCCATTACATCGGCCTTGTTAAATCAATACAGAGTGCTTCCCTGCAGGATAATAGTGTAAAGTGCAATGGCAAGGCAATTATCCTTAATTGGCGCTGGTTCTTTACCTGGGTTGCTCAGGTTCAAGGCAGAGATAAATTTAGACCGTTTGACCCCAGTGACTTTTTACATCTAGCGGGGACACATGTAGTGTGATGGAAAACATCCTGACAGATTTCTGTTGAGCTGAGGCCGAAGAGCTTCTGATCATTTAGATGTGTGTATATATACTGTATATATATATATACTGTGTATGGTTCCCCTGGGTCTTGTTATCATTTTCAAAGTTTCCATTGCTTTTATCATATGTATCTCGGTGGATCTATAATAGCGGGGCAATTTTGCTTGCTTGCTTTGAATTCTTAAGGGAAATTCTGAAAGGCGCTTTAGGAATGTTTCCCAGTGTTGCCATGCGTGCTGCTCTTGTTGTCATTACAATGACAGAAGATTGACCAAATTCTCTGCAGTCATGAGCCAAACATTTAACTCTAATTTGATTGTTTAAGGCTATTTTGTCCCAAGCCGGTATACAGCAGTATATTCCCATGGACTTTCTTGAATTTGAAATGCTTTTCTAATCCAGGGAATATTGTAATAATAATAATACTGATGAACTTTATTTATACAGCACTTTTCAAAACAAAGCTACAAAGTGCTTTACATGGTTCAACCAGGATCAAAACAATTCAGGACTGCAACGAGGCAAAGCAGTCACTGAAAACAATACAAAAACAAAATGGAATAGATTTAACTTTGATATGATAATAAAAGTATCGTACAATAAATTCAACAGGAAGCAGGTAGAAATATATGTTTAAAGGACTGACAAACACATATGACATTTGTCGTTTACAATATATCAGAATTACACTGTATTCCATTGAGAAACGTATTGCACTTTGTCCAGGGCAAGCTTTCTTAGGTATATCACACTGAAAAGTAAAACATTCCTACAACATCCATGTTTCCCTGTCCGTCTCTTCTTTACAGATTTCTCTGTCTAAGTCCTCCTGAGTTCGCCACTGTGCTCAGTCAAAGTCTATTTATAATCTATGAGTTGCTTCTGTTAAATGAGATTAATGTTGAATAGAGCTTGGTGAACATTAATGATGAGTACCTTAGGAAATTATACTATTAGGAGCAAACTATCAAGGCAGAGCAAATTAAAACATGCATTCATATATACAAAAATCAACAATTATCCAAATAAGGTAAAAAATAAGATACTGATATTCTTATTATAGTGAACGCCTTTGTTTCCCAACGACTTAAGTCATGCAGCTGAACCATAGGACTTGATTTCAGCTTCCGCCAGTATGTTAAATTAGTCTTTGTCATGAGCCGTCCCACCCGAGGTCCTTAGGCTGCCATCCAGATGGTAAATGAGATGAGCAGGGTCGGTAAAACTGTCAGTGGTGTCACGCAGCCCACGTACAGCATGGATCCTACACCACACAGTGCAGTCAAATAGGCACTCATCCTGCTGCACACAATCTTCCGTACTGCTGTGCAGAACTATAAGAAAGAGTGTGAGAATTAGTCAGTGTTTTGAGGCTCGATGAATCACAAATTGGCAGTGCAGTGGAGGTCTGCCGTCAAAGGGGAAAGGTCTTCATTAGCTCCAGAACGGCAGTCATTCGGGCCTGAAGTAACACTAGATGGAGCTACTCACCTGATGAATAAGTGAAGCCAATTTTCACTCCAGTGGACTGAAGCGAACAACTGTGCTGTGAGATTTCAGGTTTAACGACTACAGAGTAATCACACACCATCATAAGAACATTGACTGTGGATTAACCCGACTTTACGTCACTAAATGTAAACACTAAATCCATGGGGGGGGGGGGGGGGGGGACAAAACTGACGGCATTGAACCTAAAACCTCTGGCTTTTGCATGTGACCTTTCTTATTCAACAGTCTCCGGGATGCAAAGAGTCACACACTTGACAAGACTGGGCCTGACACACAATTAAAGATTCACCTAATCACTCTTAAATCATTGCTAAAAAATAAAAATAAACAGCTGTTGACAAGCTGTTCAGCCATAACATAAATAATGATTTATATACATTCAAAAACTAACTTAATTGGTTAAAAGTACATTAATTGATCTTATATTAAAGTATAGGTACATATCCAATTTACAGCGCAAACAGATTGTAGCTCAGCAAGAAAAGTTTGTCAGGGCAAACAAAAAAAGGGAATTTTGTGATAAAAATAGACTTACTAAACTACAATAAACCACTACTTTTGGAAGTTACCTTCTTAGAATGACAAACTCAGACTGTTGGAGCCTCATGTTATCTTTAATTGTACATTGCAATGCATTTTTTTCACAGGATGAGGACTGCGAATTTTGTGAGGAAAAATGATGTTTTAGTCTTTCTACTGACAGGAGAACGGAGACCCTACCTGGTACGTCTGGTAGCTGATGGCCATGCCATATCTGCAGTACATGACATAGTGTTCACAGTTGTACCACAGTAAGCTGTATGTGACTGAGCCCAGGAATTTCTCAGCCCTTCTGGCCACCTCTTCCCCGTCCAAAGGAGGCTGGCTGCACACTTTGTCCATGTGGTTGATCAGAATCTCTGAGCCATACGCAAAATCTGCCACCGAGTCCACTCTGACACTGGCAACCTTAGCGATAGCCCCCAGCAGGAGGCGGTTATTTGTTACCAGCGTTCCAATTGCAGATTTATTCTTGGAGAACACAGGCAGGATGTCCGGGATGAGATGAGCCACTCGGTCGTCCCCCAGGTAGATGCCAAAATGTGTGAATAATGTCCTGGGGACTTCCAATAAATCACCACGCTTGTAAAGGGACAGGTCATGTTTCGAGTCCTCCTCCTTTTTGGAAGCTACGAAGAAAAAGTTGAGTAGCTGGAAAGGAAACATGATGGCAGTGTGCTGCAAAGTGCCGGGACACCCGTTTTATTTCAGTCGGTGTTGGGAGGGGCGGTTGGTGGGATTAGATATTGGTCAACGTTTCAGTAAGATTTTGACAGAAATAAAGCAGCTTTCTCTAATCACTTTGCTGTGTTGTTGCTTTTTAAAACCCAGGTCTTGTTGTATTAAGGTCAAGGGTCCTCGTTAAGAAGGCTGCCTTGGCTACAAGTGAAATCCTCATTTAAAAGGTCACTCGTTGAGCCGTCATACTCAAATAAGAAGCCTTTGTTTTCCGTGGACTAGATTACTCTGAAGCCCTTTAAATTCTTTTCATCGTTATTCAGCACTTTCTTGGATATTTAAAAAAAAGAATAGATATATATATATATACAGTATATATTGATTGAAATGTCAGTCAGTACAGACAAAGTGAAAAAGACTCAGCAGTTTATTGACACTGCTTTCATGGGGTTGATTGAAATGTTGCTATTATTACTCAGCATGTTTTCCAGAGTATCGAGATGGAAAAGTGGATGACTGATCATTTTGATACAATAATAAATGTAAGTTATTAATCCATACAGGGATCATATTTTCTCTTTTGTGTTTTTTAATGAATTGATAGCAGGTTGATTTCCTGAGACATTATTGCTTGATATTTAACAGTGGTGGAAGAAGCAATCAAATAGTAAAAGGACCAATTCTGCACTGTAAAATACTCCATTACAAGTAAATACCCTGCAGTAAATTCTGTTTCTCTGAAATATAGGGAGTACATAACAACGCTTTCATTCACTTTGTTGACCCACAGTGGCTCGTCTGTTCTGTCCCATCATCAATCCAGGATCAGTGTTGGGAAAAATCAGGCTGTGCTGGATGGTCTGCACCTTCTCATATGAGATAAAACATTCCTTTCACCAGATTACCTTAATCCTGTTGGCTTCAGTCACACACTCATCATTAGACTTTGAGAAAGCCTTTTTCATCTTGTGTCTTTGAATCATTAGTTACATTTGCTGACCAGAATCCTGGCAAATGGGATACACATTTGCTATATTTAATTTAGAAAGCTGCTTTTTTTAGTATGAGAAAACTAGTTTGTCCCACAAAGCAAAGCAATCTGCAACATAACTAACTAACTAGAGCTTTTAGATAAATGTAGTCAAGTAAAAAGTTTGTGTAGTTGAGTAGAAGAATTAAGTCAAATAAAATGGAAATATTCAAGTAAAGTAGCATAATATTGTACTTGAGTACAGTGCTTTTATCCACCACTTGTCTGAAAAACAAAATGAGCATTCATACAGTGGCCAAATTCAGATGGTTCAGATGCCAACTGCACAGTATCAGAAATTAGAGGCACGTTCGAAGCAATAAAAGAGGATCAATGTCAGTAATCACCACAAACAGCTATTAAACATCTACGTGAGAAATTCTCAGGGTAACAATGACATTAGCATGGAATTTAAAGCAACAACAGCAAACAATTATAATCGGTGTAAAATATAGTGGAGTAGTGTCTACCTGCAGACAAAGAAGTCATTCTCCCTCTGTGTGTGTGTTGTAATCTGAGCTTTTTCTTGCTTAGTTCACATGGCTGGGTCAAGCCAAATGAATATAACATGATGTGTCTGTGCAGGACTAAATTAACATACCGCTACCGGTGTGAACATGGAAGCCAGGCAGAGAACAATTCATTCATATGGCAGTGCTAATATTAAGGTATATCCAGGTCAACTAAGTTCCTTTGTAAAACAATCATTGAAAACCAGAGACATCCCAAAGTCATTCATGGTGTGTGAACAACAAAGTGTCAACCTCGCTGTATGTTGTTCCTTCAGTCAGCTGAATCGATTTACCGTATTATGATATAAACTAATAACTGTGTCTTCTGTTGTTTTGTGTCCTGATACAGTGCACACAATGTAAGCGTGTCAGCCTGGCATCAGTGTCTGATTGCATCAAACAACAACAACAGCCCCAAAATGCATCTTGACATCCTGGACACAGCGTTCACAGAGAGTGCCCGTGTCTTCATGGCACTTAGAGAAAGAAAGAAACACTTTCCATCTGGTGTTTTTTCCACAAAGAGGCCAGTTCAGCAAACGTTCAGCCTTGTTTAGGTTCATGAGCCTGGCAGTTCATTCTCAGGTCAGCGAGGCTTTGTATCCGTCCTGGGCCTGTTTTTTTCCACATCATAAAACCAGCTCACACAGAGGTAGTTTAGGTAGAATTTATCATCTAATGTCAACATGGGGCCCACAGATGAAGCCTTATTAAGATTTATTTTATCACATGTATCTCAAGATTTGACCTGGAGTAATTGCCTGAACTATTATCAATAGCTACATACATGTGTGGTTGTAGTTTAACTGTGCAGCACACTGTCCAACATATTGGAGTGATAATACCAGTGGCCTTGAACAGTATGGAACTGCAAACATTCCTCAGTCACAAAAGCAAAACATTGCACTTGATACCACCCTCCTATTCACCCAGCAGTGCTAAAGAACGTTGAAGTGAAAGATCCATTAAGCTGTTGATATTTTGACCTTAAAACAGCAGACAAAGATTTCTCTTTTGAATGTGGGCTTCTTGCTAAAAAAAAAAGAAGAAGCCTCAAACTCATCTGATACAATAGACAAGGTGTATTTCTATGTAGTGTGACTCAGACAAGCACAACAGCATGAAACCATGAGCTCTGGTCAAGGATAGGTTACTGAATGGGCCTACTAGCACAGGCCCAGGGTCCAAAAGTATCAGGGGCAACTACAACTACAAAGAACTGCAAATCAGCTGCAGAAACAGAAATCAACTATGTAGAGACACAAATGACCACAAATAGACACAAAATGGCACAAAGATACAAACAACTAAAAGATTTGCAGTACAGTTGCAGAGACAAAGAAACTACAAAGAGACACAATTTGTAGAATGTAAACTCTGAGGTTGCTGAGCCCCTCAAAAACATGACCTCAGTGTCCTGAATAATGAGTAATAATTATAAAAAGTATAGTGGAATCTTCAAGAAAAAGCTATTTGAAAATACTCACCCTTCTTGCAGATTAGCATAACATTCCTAATGGGATTATTCCAGATTTCCCCCCCCCCCTTACTTTTGTTGTTTTCGTGCATCGATCTGTCTCGTGTCTCGAGTGTTTTGCTCCAGTTCTCTAAACAATAGGTCAGCTGCGCATTTACTTCTTAAAACTTAAGCCTGACGCTTATTTTCCTGCAGACTGCAGAAAGCAATTTAATACTCTTCTGTGTCTAAAATGTAAACTAACCAAGTAGAACAATTTTTATAAAGGTTGATTTTGTAATATCTGTTGATAACTCCACCAGTGACTCAGTTGTCTTCCTTATGTGCCACAAATGAACAAAGACATTTGCACACATCTTTTCAGTTAAATTTATTTCTTCATATGATAACGAATGATACCTTTACTGTTGCAAGTAGCAACTTTTTTGAGTACTGTTGCTGGTGTTTGTGAAATACGTCAAAATTTGACCCAGGCCGTGAAATTACTACTTTTGTTCAAGTAACTTTCGGTCATGGTGAAGAAGAAACACAGACGGTCGGTAGGGAGCAGGAAGCTAACAGAAGTCTCCTGTGTCAAAGTCTGACATTTTGTCTTGGATGGACAGTTTCAAAAGTTTAAATTTGTACTTACTATCTCAAATTTATGACAATAATTTACAATATCATCATACTGACTTACTAATGGGACTTTATTTTGAGTTACATGTGAGGGGCCTACAGATTTATTTTTCTTCTGAATTTTTCATTTTTTTATTTACCTGGCAGAAATGGGCCTCTGTATGTTTCAGATATAATGATATAATGATATTTAACAGACGTCTGCTAGCCAACTAAAGATGATTTCTGTTGAGGGCTTGTTTTACTTACAATGTGCCCATCCACTTTTTGTTGCCACATCTTTATTGGCGACACACTGAAGTTAATGTTTTACAAAGACATGCTGTTATAACGACATTTTGTCGGTAAGGAATGACTCATGTTGTCTTTTTTCTTTGATTTTTATCATGTGATGAATAAGTAGAGTAAATGGTCGTAGTTCTTACCTGGAATTAACTCTATTTGACTGACAGTCAAAGTCAATTCGAATAAAATGCCATCAAGTATTTGATCAAAAACGATATACAAAGCTGAGTCGTCACAACTTCCTTTGTCATAACCGGCACTGGGTTACACACATGCAGTTTATGTTAAAGCCACATGACGCTGTGTCCTGCTAGCTCAACTGCAGTCCCCATCAAATCTGGGAAATGATCAACGTTTGAGTCACAGTGTTGTCCTAACGCAGTGAGTGGGATGTTTGCATATGAACCCCTTATCTCACAGTGAGCTGAGGACCTTGTTCAGATAAATATCCCACAGAGTCGAGCAGTTTGTCATTCTCCAAAGAAGATTGGTGGCCAAAGCAGCATGGCTCCATCAATTATTACAACGGCAGGAGGACTCCTGCTACTTGTCTCCTTGACATCGGCAGTAAGTCAATCAATTTCGATTTTTCACTGCCACATTTTGCTTGAGTGCAAACATCTAGATCATTCTGTTGTTGTTTTTTGTGTAGCAAATCAGAGGAGACAACCTTGCAACATGCACCACAAATGACGGCTTTGTAAGTACAAATAATACAAAATAATAATACATTTTTTTCTGTGTGGATTGTATGTGGCTAATAAATGTCTTTGTACTTGCCCGATCTGAATTCAGGGAAAGTACTGTCCCACAACATGTGGCGTGACTGATTACATGCTGAGGTACAGGAATGGAGTCGAAGATGATTTGGAAGAAATGCAAAGGCAACTTGACACAATTGCCAATTTGACCCAGGGGGCTGAAGAAACAATTGTCTACATGAAAGATTCTTCTTTTTCAGCACAAAAGACTTCCCAGCCAGGTAACACACGTCACAGCTGTGTTTGAGTCCCCTTATTAATAGGACCAGATCATTTTGTCTGTTAGAGTTATTTACCTACTTTAAACTCCTCTGTACAAACTGTTAGTATATTCAAAGTATTCAAAAACAGAGGTAAGTGTTCTGAAACTGCGTTGAGATCATTACTGACACAGACTTTTTTATTTCAGACCCATACCACAAAAAATCAACAAATATGCTGGATGACATCATTCGATTTGAAAAGACCATCACTGCACAGGAACAGCAAATATAGTAAGTTACCAATGAGTTAGCAATGAAATCAAACCATTTGACATAAACCTTAATATACCAAGTGGTTGAAAGTAACTCAGCACATATCCTTAAGTACGGTACAATTTTGAGCTACTTCAATTTCACTCCATTTTGGAGGGAAATGTTGCACCTTTTATAATCAAATAGACTTATTTGACAGCTGTAGTTAAAAGTTACTTTTGAGATAGTGGTGTAAAAATATAGAGAGTACAAAAACTAAAAATGCTGGGTAATATGTATGCTGATGTTTGATGATACGATGGTGTGTGTGTGTGTGTGTGTGTGTGCGTGTGTGTGCGTGGGTGTGTGTGTGTGTGCGTGAGTGTGTGTGTATGCGTGTGTGTCTTAACTGTTTGCAGATTAGATATTTTATTTCATCACTTTTTTTTATGTGATCAGTGTATTAATGATGATGAATTGTTATAGGTTGCATGTGAAGTGTTTCATACCCACGAAGACATCAGAAATAATATTCAGATAAATCTAATGTTAATATAGAATATCAAAAAACACTTTTACTTGTGATACTTTACTGTTACTCGTCCCAGCCGCCCCCGCACCTTCAGGTCAATGCATGCCGCCCGTCCTCGCCCACACAGTCAGAACAGAACAGAGATCAGGGGGGCAATTTGCCGCCCACTCATAGACACTGGAACTCACACTCACTCCTGACATTTAACAGAAAACACTTAACAATTGTCTTTAACGTCTTTTTCCAAATTTTGGGTTGTCATGGGTTCCTTCTATTTCATTTTCATTTTTTCTTATTTTTTCCCTGAATATATTTGAGCTTCATGTCTCGTACTTCTCACTGTGTAAGAAACTGAGACGGGATTCACTCAGGATTACAGCTCGTACAACTCACATTTTCTCCCCTCTTTCCAGTGAACTTCAGTCTTTAATTTCATCCAACGAGAGGAGAATGTCAGACTTGAAACAACTCTCCATTCAGCTGCAGCAGAAATGCAGTGAGCCCTGCAAAGAATCGGTTGACATCCAGACCCTCACAGGAACAGGTAGAAAACAAACAAGAAAAATTAAATTCATTGACCCTCAGGTCATTCCCATTTCACAAGAGGTTTCTCAATCATGCCTCATCTGAACCACATTTGTCCTTGTTCAGTGTTTAGTTAGGGACTAAAAATCAATATGGTGCATCAATGCAAAGTAAACAGATTTTTTTCTATGAAATCTGTTGAGACCATGTTTCAAATAAGTTAATTCTCAGTGTTATAATTAAAATAAATTTGGACACAATTATGTAAAAAATAAATCCAGCAACCAAATAATATGTGACAGTTTTTGTATTGATTTACAAAAAACAGCACCAGTCTGGATGTACGTATAAGGTTTTGTTGTGACATATTCAATATGATGTAGAACTATAACTAACCTCTTTCTTCTTCATCTTCTTCCCTTTTTGTTTATCAGACTGCCAGGATATTGCAAACAAAGGTGCCACCACCAATGGCCTTTATTATGTGAAGCCAGTAAAAGCCACTGAGCAGTTCCTGGTCTACTGTGAGATTGACAGCTTTGGACGCGGCTTTACAGTGATACAGAGGGTATGCTTCACGTCACTTGTCTGTCTGTCTGTCTATATGTCTGTCTCCTGTCTGTTTTCACTGGCCCAAAATCTAATTTTCTCTGTGGATTAATAACATTGAACTGAATTGAATTGAATTAAACATATAAGGAAAATGGCTTTTTGCTGTCTTCACCTTGCACTGGATGGTTCCTATAGATCTTTTGTCAAAGAAATATAACTTAATACTAAGAAAAGCAAGTTGTAATTTGCCAATCCTGAAAGAAACAAACAGATATCGGGGACTGGCTGAAATGTATTAGGAAGGGAAGGGGGGGCTGAATCATATGTTTAGATTAAAGCAAGTGTCATCACCACTTTCTTTGGATATCACTTCTTCACATCCACAGAGACGCGACGGCAGCCTGGACTTCCACAAGGACTGGATCCAGTACAAGAATGGCTTTGGTTATCTCTCACCAGATGACACCACGGAGTTCTGGCTCGGTAACGAGAAGATCCATCTCCTGTCGACTGCTGCTAGCATGCCAACTGTGCTGAGGATAGAGCTCGTTGACTGGGAGGGCAACAAAAAGTATGTATGCACACAAACACACACGATAACGGATTAAGTAAGAGGCGAGCAAAGGGACTTGCTGAAAGGGCAAACATGACCTGACGAGGAGGTTCCCTTTGAAGAAGAAAGACAATGACTCAACAGTTTACCAAAAACTGATCCCCCCCCTCTCCTCTTTTTGGCCTCTCAAGATATGCCGACTACACTGCGTTCAGTGTTGGATCAGAGATCGACATGTACCGTCTGCAATACGGCTACTACTCTGGTGGTGATGCTGGAGATGCTTTCAACGGCTTTGACTTTGGCGATGATCCCAGTGACAAGTTCTACACGTCTCACAATGGCATGCAGTTCAGTACCTTCGACAAGGACAATGACAAGTACGCGGGCAACTGTGCTCAGCAGGACGGCTCCGGCTGGTGGATGAACAGATGTCACGCTGCACATTTGAATGGCAAATACTACCCGGGTAAGACCACATGGCTAAAACCAGTGCCAAGTCCGTTAATTGGTGTTCATTTGAATCATCTGTTGAGCTGCATTATAAGAAGAAGAAGAATGATTATTATTGTTTCATTTAATGATTGATATAATAATAACGATCATAATCATTTTATTAACAACTAGCCCCTACACACATGAGATAAAACTCTCAACCACATACATAAATAAGTACAAATCATTTCCACTCTAATCTGTCTGTGTTCTCTCCGTCTAGGTGGCAGATACACAGCAAAGGATGCAGGTGAATTTGGCTACGACAATGGCATTATTTGGGTTACATGGCACAACCGCTGGTACTCCCTGAAGGAGACCACCATGAAGATCATTCCCCTCAGCCGCATCACAGCGGGCGGTGGACAGCAGGCTGGGGTGAAACAGTTTGCCGGACTTTCCTAAAAAGTAGATGCACAAGCGTTTAATCTTTTTAGGGTGCAGTTAAGGTGTTCAGCACAACAGCACCGAAACCACCTTAAAGGGAGAGTTCATCACAAAATCTAAAATTTTCAAAATGTAATGTTTTTCCTCTTGCATGTAGTGCATTTTCTCAATCTAGATTGTTTTGGTGTGAGTCGCCTAGTTTTGGAGATATCGACCAAAGAGATTTCTGCCTTTTCTCGAATTTAATAGGACTACATGGCTCTCGGCTTGAGATGCTCAAAGTGCCAAAAAATAGATTTGAAAAACTCAACAGCAATGTCTCTTTCCAGAAATTGTGACCTGGTTACTCAAGATAATCTACAGACATTGTTGTGAGCAGTTTAATGTGTGAAGTTCCATGAAACTGCTCACAACAAGGTCTGTAGATTGAAAAGTAGCACCACCTGTGAGAGGAAAAATATGTATTCATGATTATGGGGTAAACTCTCCCTTTAATTGAAATGTCATATCTCCATTGAACCTTTCTGACTTCATGATGTGTAATGCTTGTGCATGTTTTACTGATCTGACGTAGCTAGACTCTGTTTGTCCTCAGTGTTGTTTTTAGCACTAAATAATGTCTTTTCTTAAAATAGTCATTACAGCATGACCTTAGTTTGGACTCAGTTGACACAACCAGTAGAGTTCATATGACAAGCAGCTGCTCGTAAAAAGAAGTAATCGAGAACACTACAAGATATGTGTCTGAATTGACTCTGTAAAAATGTTGTCATCGTGCACCAGAGCAACCGGATATATACACCTGCATGTATGTACAATACAACAGTCTTGAAATAAATACCATCTTGCATGTAAATAATGCGTCCGCTTCATTTGCTGTACAACAAATTCAACACCACTGTGGTAAACTAACTGTAACTATTAAAATGATTAGAGTTTCACAAATGTAGTATTTACATTATGAGAACATTATGAATTAGAGGGTTTTTTAGCTTTCTGATTTTATTCTTATATTCTTATAGATAACACACACACACACGCACATAAACATGGGAAAACAGCGTATTTGCTTTACATCAAAATGTATTGCTTTTTGCATTATTGATCTTGCTTGAGGACCTTTTAAGCAAATTAAATGACAGGTTTAAAGGAAGCATATGGCTAAAATCTATTTGCTTTATAAACAACAAGACACAAACAATGGCCTATTCACTCCATAAAATGAATAATTGAAAAATATTGACCGAGGGAGTGATCCTCAAAGTGCTTTTAACGGCCACTTGAAACAATTCCAGTATAAGTTTAGGAAGTATGTAATTTAATTATCTAAACTGAAGTGCTCTTCAAAGAGACTCTTCGTTGGAAAATAAAAACTTCTCCTTGAAAGAACGTTTAAACGTAGGGTAATGGGCTGCTCAGCATTGACCTTTTATTTATTTGGACAACAAATTAGTGACGGTTGTTTTTTATTTTCCTCATTAATACCCTAAGGTAACGCTGCGACGACAGGTTATTCACAATAGATAAACTTTTCTGTGGCCAACACTTGAAGACTAACTGCAGGTAGTCAATATAACTTTCAGTATCACTCAGGACACTAAGTTCTCATCAGAGCATGCCATGTTTATTTTGATCCACATTTCGACAGTTTATGTACTTTGCATCGAGTACTAGTAGTACTTGTCCTCATGCATCATCACACTCTGCAATAACTACATGTGGAGTCCAAATTCCAGTAGACAGTTGTGTCAAATAAGAAATACCTTTGTATGGCCTAAAACAGGGGAGTGTAATTGTGCAAAAAGGCTGATTTGGGGGCCACCCTCACTCTCCAAAGTCCCTAGTCAAAGAGTGTTTTTCAAAATTGGTCTCACATTAATCACAGTAAAAGTTGCAAGAAGAATTTTAGTCCTAAACCAGATTGTTTGGTTATAGTCCTACAATGCAGCGGCGTGGCCACCCACACACTTTTGTTTTGGGGCGTTGAAGGATTATATAACCATTAATCAATGTACTCTGTTAGGCAAACATGGCTTGGAACAGGAGGCAGGTAAACCAAACTTTGGCCTGTTGTGCTAACTGCAAGTTACATTTATTGTACCCAAACGTATATACAATGATTGTTAGTGAAAAAAACTGTGAGTCGCCTAGTTTTGGAGATATCGGCCATAGAGATTTCTGCCTTTTCTCGAATTTAATAGGACTACATGGATCTCGGATTGAGATGCTCAAAGTGCCAAAAAATAGATTTGAAAAACTCAACAGCAATGTCTCTTTCCAGAAATTGTGACCTGGTTACTCAAGATAATCTACAGACATTGTTGTGAGCAGTTTAATGTGTGAAGTTCCATGAAACTGCTCACAACAAGGTCTGTAGATTGAAAATTAGCACCACCTGTGAGAGGAAAAATATGTATTCATGATTTTGGGATAAACTCTCCCTTTAAATGAAATGTCATATCTCCATGGAAACTTTCTGACTTCATGATGTGTAATGCTTGTGCATGTTTTACTGATCTGACATAGCTGGACTCTGTTTGTCCTCAGTGTTGTTTTTAGCACTAAATAATGTGTTTTCTTAAAATGGTCGTTACAGCATGACCTTAGTTTGGACTCAGTTGACACAACCAGTAGAGTTCATATGACAAGCAGCTGCTCGTAAAAAGAAATAATCGAGAATGCTACATGTGTCTGAATTGACTCTGCAAAAACTTTTTAAAAATAATTTTAGTCCTAAACCAGATTGTTTGGTGATAGTCCTACAATGCAACGCCGTGGCCACCCACACACTCACACACTTTGCACCAACTACGTTAAGTTTTTGGGCGTTGAAGGATTGGATAACCTTCAATGTAGGCCTACTCTGTTAGGTAAACATGGCTCGGTACAAGAGGCAGGTAAACCAAACTTTGGCCTGTTGTCACTGCAAGTTACGTTCATTGTATCAAAACGTACACACAATGATTATTACTGAAAAAAAACTAAATGGGATTTATTTAATCATGTCATTACATTATATTGTGTAAGCGTGGTAGTTTTTTTTTATTTGTTTTGGTTGTTTTGCAAAATTGCATTGGCTTACACCTCCTGGCCGGCAGGTGGCGCCAACAAACTTCCAGCTGCGGTTGGTACTGTTTACTTCCGGGGCTTACGGTCACCGGCTTCTGTGCTGATGGCCATGTTTTCAGGATTGTGATACATTTTTGAGAGCGACCAAACAATAATCCTAAAATAAAAGTAGTTTCTTCAGCTGTGGTGTTTAGTCCGTGTTGATACCACCACGATGGCCGAGGTAAGCCGAGGTTGGAAGTCTTTTGCTGGCTTTTTATTTTGCTCCCGCTCAGGCCTCTCCAGAACGTATACCGTGTCGGGCCCGGCTAATTGCTGGATAGCGTTACGTCCACGATACGATTTATTGCCCGTATAACTTATATTTTGGAGTAGAGCCATTTATAAATGTTTGCCGGTTTTGTGTAAGTAAAATACAATGTTATAAAATATGACTATTTCATTGTACAGGATGTGCAGAAGCACTCAGTCCACACTCTGGTCTTCAGATCTCTCAAAAGGACGCACGACATGTTTGTGTCCGACCATGCGAAATCAATCGCACAGGATGAAGAAAGGTAATTTCGGCAAAATGAATACCTGTTTGAACTCCATTTCCTCTGTTACTACAAGTAGTGTTATATTTTATTATTCATACATCTTAAACTGGATAAAAAAAAATGTACCTTACTAATAATATTTATGGTTCGCGAAATAGTTATCAAAGTAGCTGATAGCCCATTTTAAAGATGTGTAACAAGGGAGAATGGACAGAAATAAGATGTCCCTTCTCATCTTTCTACAAGTCTCAATGTTTGTTTACTTAACACATAATGTGAGTTTATAAGTGCCACTTAAACTCAGGGCTGGGCAATATCCTTAAAGATCATTGATAAGGACATTTGTCCAATATTACCTGTAAAATAATGGGTTGTCCGAGATATAAATGTAATATATTGTGAGACTGTTTAATGGTAATATTGATCTTTTAAAATGATGTTTTTAAATTATCTGGCTTAACCAGTACAGATGAATAGTTTTTTTTTTTTTTATGTATATCAGTATAACGATTTTATCGATATTGCCCAATTCTAGTAAACTGTTCAAAGCAATCAACGGTGTATTGTTGTGCAGTACATCAGTCAAAAAATGATGCTCATTATGCTGAGTAGAGTGAGAAAATGATGCACAATTTCGTATCTTGTATTTGCAGCCACAAGATGAAGATGTGTGTGAAACTGAAAGCGGATTACAATGCAGTTCTGCACATGCCTGTCCTGAAAGAAGGGGACAGAGTGTCACAGCTTTCTGGCAGTATGCTCGGCCACCAGAGCTACACACAGCCAGGTGAGTTCAGTGTGATAACAGCTGATGATGGAGAAATACAGCCATGCAGACTTTTTATTCCCACGCTTCCAGTTTCGAGAGGTTTTGTTATTTATTTGGACCGATTTTATGAAAACGTCCCTGTTGTTGATGCTCAAAAGCTCATTTGAGGGGTTGTTTCTTTCCCCCCCAATGTGTTTCAGGGGATGACCCAGAATACCTGATCACCGGGACACATGCTTATCCCTCTGGACCTGGTAAGTACTGTGCTATTAATTGAACCAAGCTGCATGCATGTACTTGTGCTGAGCCCGCTCATTGGACTGCGTCAGCATTATTTGAGTGTTTTTATAGCATCACCTTTCTTTCAACAGGGGTGGCCTTGACTGCCGACACTAAGATGCACAGGAATCCAAGTGAGGGAGGAGTCCTCTCCATGGCGCTGGCTTTGCCACCATCACAAGCCAGGTAAACTTTTTTTTTTTTTTTTTTTCTTCCACATTGTTTGTTACTGGTCCTAATTTGGCGTAAACACTCAAGTTGAAGTTTCTCATATTTCTAAACAATATCCACGCGTTGTTGGATTTTAGGCAGGACGTAAGCCGCACTGCAGCCAGTGTTGGTGACATCCATCGACACGCAGGAGGAGCAGAGAGATCTCACCCCCAGTCGACTGCTGTGGTAGGTTGTAGCGTATTCCCACTTGATGAGATGTATCTCGTTTACACGTGCTGTAAGATCCCTGAGAGAAGTGCAAAGCGGACACAGAATTCTTTTATTTATTTCTTTTAGTCGCTGTTGGAGGGAGGCGGCACCAGAAATTCTACGCTCGCAAGGAAAGCGCCAACCATGCCTAAACCCCAGTGGCATCCACCGTGGAAGCTGTTTCGGGTAACTACAAACACTTTTAACTTAACACGCCGATGACAAAAGGAGGCCTGCGTCCTCTGCGTTATGTTCAGCAGTCGTGTGTTTTATCTTGCAGGTCATCAGTGGTCATCTTGGCTGGGTGAGATCCATCGCGGTGGAGCCTGGAAACGAGTGGTTTGTCACGGGGTCTGCTGATAGAACCATAAAGGTGAGTAAAGCTGACAATCACCATCATTTTCAACTTGTTTTTTTTATTATTTAAATTATTTTGTGAATAAAGATATCGGAAACTATAACACATGTAATCCAGAAGGTTTATCCTTTTCTTTGTCTTGGTGTATAGAAAAAATAAAGCTCCTTTTCGACCATGTGAACAGTAGTTTGACAAAGTAATCGTGACTCAAAGTCTTCTTTCTAACTCCAGAGCTTTTAACTACGCCTCATGATCTTCATCAGCAAACTAAAGTTGGCTCAGTTGTCACGAAGTCATCAAAACTGAGACACTTTAAACACTGATCAAGACTCGGATATGGTTAAATGAAAATCAACGAAAAACAAATATGATGTCTGAGCACCTTCTAAAAATGTATATTTTCCCCTCTCCTACCCTGGTAAATTATGTAATAACACTATATTTAATCTTTACAAATCGCCGGTGTGATTGATCAGGAATGTTTGATTACAGAGTGTACAATGATGCTCCTGTTAACAGCTACATATCGCACGTTTTCTTTCAGCGTTTATTGTAATGTCCCCCTCGAGACACTACTTCTGGAAATGTTTGATAATGCTCCTACTACAACATGAATGCTGTTTGTCTTGATAGATCTGGGACCTGGCCAGTGGGAAACTGAAACTCTCCCTGACTGGACACATCAGTACAGTGCGTGGTGTGGCGGTCAGCAACCGTAGCCCTTACCTGTTCTCCTGTGGAGAAGACAAGCAAGTCAAATGTTGGGATCTGGAGTACAACAAGGTATGACGTAATGGGAAGGAGGTTAATGTGATGGAGTCAGTTAAGTCTTAAAAAAAAATTATAAAAACAGATGATTTCTACGGTGGTTGGTATGGTCCTGACAATGTCAATTTGTGTATTAGGTCATCCGGCACTACCACGGACACCTTAGTGCTGTGTATGATATAGACCTGCATCCAACTATTGATGTGCTGGTGACGTGCAGCAGAGATTCCACCGCAAGGGTAAGCTCACACTCTCCAAGTTCGCTGTTGCAAACTCTCAAGCTTTCAGGCTGTGTCTCACGCTCTCACTCCGCCGAACCCTGTGCAGGCACGGAAGACGAGCAATTTAGCCAAGTCATCCGAATCTCATTCTCATAAGTAGTTCAGCGTCTGCTGGATCAATTCATTCAACTGATTGGACTTCCTCTCTGTCCCTGCAGGTGTGGGACATCAGGTCAAAAGCCAACGTGCACACACTAACCGGCCACACCAACACGGTGGCCACAGTGAGATGTCAGGCTGCAGAGCCACAAATCATCACTGGTAAATTGAACGCCGAGCGGAATTATTCTGTCATCGTGAAAAGTTGCAGCTGATTGGCTGGTTTTTAGCTGCTAGTCTGACAACTGGTTACCTTCTTGCAGGCAGCCACGACTCAACCATCAGACTGTGGGATTTGATCGCCGGGAAAACCCGAGCAACTCTGACCAACCACAAGAAGTCCGTCCGAACTCTGGCGCTGCACCCCAGACAGTAAGTTACATAACCCGGACATTTGGTGTTTTGATTAGTTAGCAGGGCTGTAGTCCAACACCAGCTCCATTTGAGACCAGGTCAGGACCAAGTCCAGAGTAAATCTAGTCCTTTTTCAAGACCATCATAGGCAGAAGTGTCTTTCTATTGCTAATCCTCTGCTCTCCTGCGTAACCGCGCACATAGAGCTTAGATAAAAGAGCATTTCTGTTAATGCCGGCAAATATCATGAATGGCAAATGTAGCAAGTTCAAAGTAGATTCCAGACCACTAAAACTTACTCAGTTAGTCCTGAAACAATACATTGATTATAGTCAACAGGTTAATATTTGATTAACTATTATTAAACTTTGGTTTCCATTTTTTAGGATTTGTTGCTTTTCTCAGTTTTGTATCTTTTAATGTAATAAATTTGGGGCTTTAAATTTTCCAAAGAAAAAAAAAAAAACTTTTCTGGGGCTTTGAAAACTTATTGCCATTTGTCCATTTTTTTAATTTCTTATTTTACAGACTTAAAGCCTAATCGGAAAATGAATCAGTAATAAAAAATGACAGTTGATCAAAGCCTTTTTTTTGAGTTATGAAGAACATCAAGATGTTTGACCGTAGAGTTTATAAAATAAAACAAATGAGGAGTTTATAAAGTGCTGAACAGGTTGTCATCCTCCTCCCTGTGTCCCACAGGTACACCTTTGCCTCTGGCTCGGCGGACAACATCAAGCAGTGGATGTTCCCAGATGGCAACTTCATCCAGAACCTGTCGGGCCACAACGCCATCATCAACACTCTGGCTGTTAATTCTGATGGCGTGTTGGTGTCTGGAGGTATTCACGACGAGCTCCACCGTCACTTGTTTTGTCTTCAAAAAAAAATATCTTCAACTTTGAATCCGGAATAATAGATTTATTTTTTTATTTGGGTTCGTGTCACAGGTACAGATGCAGGTGATTACAGTACTGGATTAGAAACACATTAAGATGATCCACATTTCTGTTCTCTCTGTAGCCGACAATGGAACCATCCACATGTGGGATTGGAGAACCGGCTACAACTTCCAGCGGATCCATGCGGCTGTGCAGCCTGGATCCCTGGACAGCGAGTCGGGCATCTTCGCTTGTATGTTCGACAACTCGGAGAGCAGACTGATCACCGCTGAGGCCGACAAGACCATCAAAGTATACAAAGAGGATGACACCGCTGTAAGTTGTACCGTTATATTTAAAGTTTATATTTTAGTGTTGGCTCCCAGGCAGCAGATCGATCATTTAAAAACTCTTGTTTTCCTTTTTGCAGACGGAAGAAAGCCATCCAGTCAACTGGAAACCAGAAATCCTCAAGAGAAAACGATTTTAATCGTTCATTATTTGCTCCTCTCGTCACAGTAACATTGTTTAAATTTTATTTCTGCCAAACCTCTTGTTGTAGATATACGCCCGTCAAGTTCTGCTTGCTACTGCTTTTTCATAACAGCGAATGCGTCTTTGACTGAAGCGACCACATTGTCCCGTTTTTTTATTCCAAAAACCATTTGCAGTCTTCATTGTACGATGTTAGTCCAATAAAGTCGCCATTTTGAACTGCGAGGAACCTCCCAGAGTGTTTGTTCTTGATGATGACGGCTCTCTGATGGCTCTGGTCCGTCTCATCCACCAACATCAGCCACTCTTCGTTCGCAGACGGACTGAGCTCTGAGTGGACCTGATTCCTGATGGGGTCAAAGCCTGCAGAAGGATATGTGGTGTGTTTCGAAATGTGCAGGTTTTACAGACACTGAAACAAACGGTGCCCTTTTTCTCTGGTTTGCAATGTGATTTTTATTTTCGCTCCGTTTAATAAAAACTACATTTTTCACATACTTTGCTGTTTTTGTTTTCTTTGTTCAGTAAAGACATGTTTGCGTACTTACCCAGGTATCTGTTGGTGACGACGTTCCTGTAGTACTTGCAGCCGTTGGCCTTGATCTCCACCCAGTAACAATAATCTCCAGGTGTCTCAATGAGCCCCACTGTGGTTCTGGTGTCACCAGTTGGGTGGATTATCTGCTCATCATGCTCACCTGTGAAACACAAGGCACAACAGAAGGCTTGAGTTTCAAAGTGCAAGGCTTAATGCTATGAAGATTAAAAAAGTTCAACCCAAAGTACAAGAAATACACTAAGTGCTATCCAGCCATGTAGTGGCACTGATAAGGAGACAGGCACCTCGGCTCCGGGTGTTAAATTAATGAGCTGTATGCTTCACTGCGTTTAAGAGACTAGGATCATTTGTTTATGTGTAAACCAACATCAGGCTTGACTTAAAACATTGCTGTTCTAACTTAGTCAAACTAAATGTTTAACAAATATACACCTAGATATGAATGTACTGAGTTGTAATTTATTGAGATAATGATATCTGATCCAGCTGTTTGACTCAGTATCACACCGATGTGCTAATTATGACGACTCCACACACATGCCTAACAAGGCGGTTATTCTAGTTTGTTTTGTGTTTCCTATCATATTTAGTGATTACCTGACTCGTGGATGTAGAGCTTTGACAGAGCATGGCGAAACCCTCGGCCCGGTTTCTTCTCCAGGCGAGGTTTCGATGCTTCTGGTTGATCCACCACCTCTCTTGGAGGTTCTTCAACTGCCAGGAGGTGACCGGCGTTAAACATGATCTCCTCCTCCAGAGACCTGAGACACATCTCAAAGTGCTCCTCGTCCCTCTCTGCATTTCTAAAAGGACACCGTTGATAGCAAGACGTGAAATATCTTTGTAGCAACATCAGTTTTCATCCATGTAACCTTTCGTGAGAGGATGAAGAGCGTCACCTGTCCTTTTTTTTTTTTTTTTTTTTACAAGGCCTCCTCACCTGAAGTCCACCCACAGCAGGCCTGCAGTGATCAGCCCCAGCCACTCGCTGGCCTCCCAGTTGTTGGTCAGCATGACCGGCACGATGATGACCTCCCTGGTGTCAGCATAGTTGAGCTCCTTCTTACAGCTGCGGGACGCCTGGTAGGCCGGAGTCATGAACGGACAAATCACCACAGCTTCCTCCACACCTGCAGCCATCCTGAAAACACACACAGAAGTGTTTTGATTCATCCAACTCATACATTTTACTCATCCCATCCGTGGTTATGACTCCTATGTACTCACGCGTCGTTTATGTTCCCCGTCACCCCTCCTTCGATATCCATCCACACTGGCAGACCGTCGTCTTTGAGGCGGGCGTATATGTTTCTTACCAGAGCCTGGTCATCCCACTGGTAGGAGAGCATAATGTGAGATGGCATTTTCCCTCGTTTTTTGCTGAAGTCTGCGAGAAAGCATTCCCGTATGAAGCTTGTGTGGTGGAGTTTTCTGGAGTTGCTGGATGAACTGAGACAAAGGGAGACTCTGTAGCTATGCTGCTTGTTTACTCGGGTATACAGCTCAGGTTACCTCTGTCGCTTGGTTACAGTGCTGGCAAACACCGATGGGAGGCTCCATGATGGCTACTAAGCCCCGCAGGACCAGTGAGCAACGACGATCAAGGTGCTGATAGAGCTACATGACCAAATAATGAATGTGAAATGGAAGGATTCCTATAATTTGGTTATGGTTTGAAATCCCTGTTATTCTTTCAGTGTATTTTCTTCAGTATATTTTATAATAATTGAGAAAAACTTTTGACAATTTACCTGAACCTTTTCCATGTTCTGTGTTTTTTTTTTTAACTTGATATAATAAAAGAAATAATTGCATTTGTAATTCAGTTGATTTATTGAAAATATATTCTATTTTTTTTTCATGTATAATGATTTGAAATGTTACAAAAACACTGTATGTGTATTTAAAAGTAATTTGTTTCTCTTTGTGGTTGTTTAATCCTTCTTTGTGGTCAATAGTCTCCTCCTGGTTTGTATGCGTCTCTTTGAGTTGATATGTTGTAGGTGAAGGCCAGGGGGGGCCTAACACTTTGGGGCCCTGGGCCTTTCAGTAACTCATCCATGATTTGAGCCCATAACTGTCCAGGTGAACTATATTGAATAAAAAAGAGTGCTTGTTTGTCTGTTTGGGGTTGTGTTGCATCAACAACTTCCACAGTGCAGTGCCTGCAGTTGTCATTTTTTACCAGAAGAGGGTGCCACCCCAATACTAAATGCCAAAACTGAACCTCGTTAAACGGTTGATTTATCTGATATATTTAAAGCACTTCACCAAAATCAGGCGGGCTGAATCACAGATTGTATTTGCTCACTTTTGTTTTTTGTTGTCCCTGTTTTTTATTTTTTAAATATATTTTGCATTTTTTTTCTGTGTATTTGTAAATTCTGTGTATGTACGGAGTCAAATTCCTTGTATGCGTACATGACCAATAAAGCTGATTCTGATGAGTTTCATCTTGAGTTCCTCTACTTAACCTGCACACCTGAAGATCTTCAACAGGTCAAACCCTGGATACTATGGCACGTTTCAGCACGCGGCACTGGAGGTAATCTCTCGGCCTCATTAAATCTGAAGCAATCAGGGCCACAGATGGAGCCGACCAGCGTGGGACGTGCAGCCTGCCAGGAGGTGTGTTCAGTGCGCACAGTTGGTGCTCTCTGGCCACTCGGTGCCACGATGTGTGACAAAGCAGCCCTGGGGATTGGCGCTGCTAGATGCGTGGATATCTAGCCTTCAAAATCACGCAATGAAGCTGCTGAAATATAGTGATGGAGAATGACTGCTGGCTGTTTCCCCGCGCGCAAAAAATGCACGGTGCGTTTACCTGTTGTCGTTTGGAGAAGGATTCTGAAATTGAGGAGCGTGACTTTGACATAATGTCGCCTAACTTCTACTCACAAACTAATAGAGGTTAAAGCCATGCGGAAAGGAGCAATGGGTCGCCAAAGTGCTGCAACGTGGTTCCTTCGGACGCTCGCGCTGTCGCTGCTTTGCGCGCGGTCGCTCGGTCAGGTGTTCAACCTGACGCTGTCTGTTAAAGAGGGCTTGCCCGCTAAAACCATCGTTGGAGATCTGGGAGCGGGGTTAAGCAGGCCAAGCACTGGATTCTTCATCTCAGAGAGCAGAGACTCTTACGTGTTCAGAGACTTGGAAATAGACGCAGACACGGGGATCATCTCCACGGCGGTGATTCTGGACAGAGAGAGCAGAGATAAATACGAGTTCGTGGCAGCCACTCTTACAGGGGAGATGATAAGAGTGAAACTAGAGGTGAAAGATGTGAACGACCATTCTCCCGTGTTTCCCTCGGAGGAGGTTGTCTTGGAAATCTCAGAACTGAGCCCCCCGGGGAGTCGATTTCACCTTGAGGGTGCTAAAGATGAGGATGAGGGTGAGTTCGGTACCCAGGGATACAGGATCACAGAGCGTGAGATGGGGGAGCTATTCCACCTGGAGTATCGCAGTGGATCTGAGGACCACCCGAGCCTGGATCTCATCCTCACAAGCAGACTAGACAGAGAAACACAGGACTTCTACTCCCTCGCCATTGAGGCCTTTGATGGTGGCGTTCCGGCCAGGACGGGGACTCTTCAGGTGAACATCCACGTCCTGGATGAGAACGACAACCCTCCCGTGTTCAACCAGACCGAATATCACGCTTTGCTGCCCGAGAACGCTCCAGTGACGTCTGCTGTGTGTCAGGTCCACGCCACCGACCTCGACCTGGGCGACAACGGCAGAATCACCTATGAGATCAACAGGCGGCAGAGTGACCCGAACGAGGTCTTCTCCATCAACGAAACCAGTGGGGTGGTGTATCTCAACAAGCCGCTTGATTATGAGACTCAGGCTTTTCACGAGCTGATCATCAGCGCCAGAGACAACGGTGCCCAGCCTGAGTACAGCAGCACATTTGTGGGCGTGAAGGTGCTTAACATCAACGATAACAGCCCCACCATCAGTGTGCTGTTTCTCAGCGAGACGGGAGACGCAGTGGTGTCGGAGGCTTCGGCGATCGGGGACTACGTTGCCCGGATCTCAGTGTCAGACCCCGATTTTAAGGAGGAGAGGGTCACCGTCACGCTTGAGGACGATGATGGGAAGTTCACTCTGAGGCAAACGGATGATTTTCTGTATGCTTTGTGTGTCAATGCAGAGCTAGACAGGGAAGAACATGACCTGTATGAGTTGAAGGTGCTGGCATCAGATTTTGGGAGCCCATCTCTGAGCAGTGAGATGGTGCTCCTCCTGAGGGTGACTGACACCAATGATTGCCACCCAGCGTTCGAGAAGGATGTGTACATCATCAGTGTTTCCGAGGACGCCCCTCAAGGGAGCTCCCTCATCCAGATGCGGGCCCGAGACGCTGACGAGGGCGTCAACTCGGATGTCAGGTACTCCATCCCCAAGTCCAACCAGGACAGCCTGATCAGCATCGACCCGGAGTCGGGCCTGGTCACAACAGCTGCAGCTCTGGACAGAGAGACGCAGACGGAGGTTTGGTTCCTGGTGGTGGCGGCTGATGGAGGGGAACCGGCTCTGTCATCCACGGCTACAGTCACTGTGCTGGTGGAGGACGTCAACGACAACGAGCCTGTGTTCCAGCAGCAGCTGTACAACGTGTCCATACCAGAGCACAGTGACGTTGGGAGCTGCTTTTTACAAGTATGTTGGAGAATGACAAGTGAAGAATGTGCACAAAAAAAAAATGTCTCACTTACCACATTGTGAATAATAGTAGTGCCTTCACACCAGTACACTTTTCAAGTTTTTGGGGGTCATTTTTAAGCCTTTATTAAAAAGTGTGTCGTCGAAAGGTGACAGGAAATTAAGATGTAGGGAGAGGAATGACAATGACATGCAACAAAGGCACCCAGTCGGACTGGGGACACGAGAATTACATGGTCAGAGTCTGAAACTCTTAGGCCGCCATGATGCCTCACACCCAATAAGATTTAAGTGATCAGAATTTAACTTTGGGTGGTCGAAGCTCTAAAAAATTATACTTTAAATGTTCAGCAACAATGTGTCTTTCCAGAAACTCTGTCCTGCTTACTCTTTAGAATCCACAGAACATACACTTAGAAGTATTTATTGTGAAATAAGCTGAATGACTGAAGACTACTCAGTCAAGTCAAGTCATCCTGGCATGTTCAGGCCTACAAACCGTGAGAGATGGACTTGTTCTGACAAACAAGAGGCGTTATTATATTTCACGTCAGCACAGATATTTGAAATAGGTCTCTAATCTTCGCTTTATTTCCCGTGAAATGCTGGATCGTTTTACCTCTAAAAATGTTCAAATCATTCTTGCCATTTTTCACAACGACACAAGTAGACATTGCTTTATTTTAAAAGGGTCACGTGGCAAAAATCTAGAGAACCGACTAGTTTGGTTTTACAAAAAGTTCAGGATTTGAGAGCAAACCAGAGCAATTTAAAAAAGTCTCCAGTGTGATCATTCAACATCTTATTCTCACTGTCTCTTTTCTACATTACAGACAAAAGTAAGCCTTCAGTCTGACGACACAAAGACACCAGTGTTCGTCCTAAACACACAGAACACAACAAACACACCCTTTCCAGTTCAGCACTGTGACTTTAATGGCAGTTGTGATGCCTGGTACAAGCTGAAGCCCATTACAAAAGATACACTTACCAATGCCTTTCCTGTAAACATAACAAACAGACTGAATATTGACTATATATAGAGTATATCAATATTTTTGCAATTACTGAAACTAGGGCCCTCTTTGTCGAAACTCTACACACGAAAAACATTTTCACAAAATAACGAGTGTGGTTGTTAATTGAGAGTTATTTGCAAAAAGTGTGTTTTTAGAATTTTAAACTTAAAGCAGAACCTGGTCAATAAATAGGCAGCATGAGTTATTTGTTTCAACAATTACCAGTTTTTGTGTTTTGGCAATTGCAAAAAAGGTTAAATCTTTATCCACTAGACTGAAAAAGGACACTTATAAGCCTGAGTTTAAGGGTGTGTGTTGTTTTGCATACGCACTTAATCCCATTACTTTTAGTTCCGCTTTAAAAGTGAAGAACTCAGACTAAGCATACTCACCCTTACTGTGCAACAAATAGCCAACAGTGGATCTCCAGCTGGTGTATGAAAGAGCTCAGACTCTTTATCACGGCAGAGAAGTGAGATAAACGTGAGAAGTGAGAAAGAAAGCAACTAGACCAGCTTTCATAATCAATTAAGATTTAGTTTCAGATTAACCATTTAGTATATACAATGTCAAGAAATAGTGACAGATGCCTGTTGCAATTTCCCACAGATTAAGGTGATTTTTCTTTTCTTTTACCAACAGTCTAAAATGCAAAGATAATAAATTTACAATAATTTAGAATAGTTTTCTTGGCAGTCCTAAAAAGATATAAAGTTGGTTCAAAAGTCAGTTTGTTAGTCAGACCTTGACCCGTGTCTGTAAAAGTCCCTCTGATCAGAGTTCATAAACTCTGAGATGATATCAATCTTTATGGCTGGAAAGTGAGCGCTCTATCCGGTCTCTTGTCAGGCGCACGGTGAGACATGAAAGGATTCCTGTCCGATCTGAGGCGTGTCTTTACTCTGCAGTTTGGCCGCCTCTTGTTTTCCACTTCAATGATACTCTTCACTCTTTGATTCTGAGGATTTTTTTATGCTTTTGTTATGTTGACC